CCTCTTTTTCATCTTAGAGGTTTGATGGTTTAATGTATTAAAAATGTTTTTTTCTTTCCTAATCTCATACATTTTTCTACTCTTCTAGTGACACCTGTTTTTCCCCATAATCTTGAAATTGTGTTAGTTTTTCTTCCCCTTCTGGGTGCAGGATATCTTTATTATGACTTCTGTATGGCTGATTTGGTGCTCATGAGTTCCCTCAGTTTATGCTTATCTCAGGAGGTATTTGATTCTGAGGACTAATTTTGCTGGCTATTATAATCTAGGTTGGTAGTTATGTTCTCATAGGGATTGAAATATATAATCTATGCCCATATGGGTTTCAGAGTTTTTGATGAGACTGCTAATATTTGTTAAGCATAACTTGTTCTTCTCTATTGCAACTTTAATATTCTGTGTCCTGTACATTTGGCAGTTTAACTGTGTCATGGAGAAATTCTTTTCTGGCCATGTCTTTTGAACTCTGAATGCCTCTTATATTTGAATGTTTGTATCTTGTCCATATCTGGAACATTTTCTGGGGTCATCTCATTAAATAAGTTTTCTTTGCCTTCAGCCTGTAGCTCTTCTCCCTTGTCTATTCCAAGTTCATTTGTTCTTTTAAAGGTGTCTCACAGATCTTGCACATTCTGTTTATTGGGGTTTGTTTCTTTTTTTAATTTTAATTTTTTGGTAGGATATGTTTGCAGTACATAATGATCACATTCACTGTGAGAAGTTTGTACAAGTACATAACACATTTCAATTCTTTTTGTCCTTTTTATTTCTTTGGTTAATTATGCTTTTTTAAAAAATCAACCTTGTCTTCAAGCCCTGACATTCTTTGCTGTGCTTGGTCTAGTCTATTGGTGATGTTTTCAACTGAGATTTTTATCTGATTTACTGAGCTTTTCATTTCCAAGATTTCTATTTGGCTTTTTTCAGAATCTCTATCTCTTTATTGAATCCTCTCTCATATCCTGCATTGTCTTCCTTAACTTGTTCAGTTGTTTATTTGTATTGTTTTGGAATTCATTCATCTTTTTAAAAATTCTTCTTTTCAATTCTTTGATTAGCATATCATCCACTTTGATATCTTTGGAATATGTCTATAAAAATTAGGAACATTATGTCATAATGCTTTTTTTTCATATCCTCCTTTCTTGGTGGTGAAACTCAGGTGCCTTCTACTACTGAGCTACATTCCCAACCCTTTTTATTTTGAGACTGGGTCTCACTAAGTTGCCTAAGCTGCTTGAAACTTACAATCCTCCTGTCTCAGCCTCCTGAGTAGACAAGATTACAGGCATGTGTTACTGCACCCAGGTTATTTCCTGTGTATCTATGTTGACTTTGTATATCTGTTGGATATCTCTTCATGACTTCTCTTTACGATGTTCCATGGTTTACTGACTTACTGTACAATGTTGAGTTTAATTCCACTTTGATTTCATAGTGTAGTTTCCTTGTGAGTACTTTGGCTGTAATTAATGGGTTCTGATATAATGTATATTTTGTCAGAACCTCAGGAACCACCTTTCTTTGTAGGTTTCACAAGTGTGGGGTCCCTCTAGTGGTTCAGGTAGCTGTGTTGTAGACAATAAAATATATGGCATGTATCTTCTGTGGTTATTCTTCCAGACTTGTCGGCAGTTGTGGTCTAACAGGGCATAGGAGTGACCAGTGCCACAGTCTCTCATAGGTGTGATGTGTACAAATTTTGTATAATTTCTCTTTCTTTTTGTTATGAGACCAAATGTCCAGGAGCAGATCTTCAGGGCCCCCTAGGCATCCACACTTGGGGCTGGCTCACAGGCTGGGATCTTTTACTTTCTTTATCCTTTACCTTGAACTATCTGTCAAGGTTTGTGTGCTGCTGGATCATGGGTGGAGCAAGTGAAATTTCTGTTAGTTGGACTGGGAGGACAGCTCGGTGACAGAGCATCAACCCAGCGTGCTCCAATAGGCATGATCTGCAGCACTACAAAGAAAGAGGAACACAAACAACAATAATAACAGCAAATGAAAAATCAGAGACAAAAAGAAAGTAAAAACCAAATAACAATTCTTACAACCATATCAGCAGTAAAGAAACAGTGGAAGTAAAAATAATACAGAATAAACTAGAATCAAAAAAATGACTTATGGAAATTTTTTTTCTTTGCTGAGATTGTTAATTTTGCAGACCAGACTGAATATTTGCAGTGTAAGTCAATCAGACCTTTTCCTGTGTCTTCTTAGGTTACAGTCTCTGGAGAGAATAGATGCTTGGGGTTACTCATTCTTTCTTTTTACTTTTGTGTTACTTCTCCAGGAGACCAGCACTAGTAGTTTGTGGCTTCTCTGATATCTTTAGTCCTGACTACCTCAAGAGGAGAAGTGGTTATGGAGTTACAACTATCTACATAGGAAAGAGGGGGTCAGTACAATCTGCTCCCCATTGCCCTGATGTTCCAACACTTAGGTTCTGTGCAAAATCACATGTGCCTCCCCAGCCTCCTAAACTCCTGCAGCTGATTTCCAAAGATACTGATCTTAAAGCAGTAGTAAGCCCCATCTCTTTCCATGTAGTTTTAAATGGGTCTCAAGGCAAATAGTTGCTGAGTCAGGGCAGTAATGTTTGTGATAAGGTTTTAGAGACAGAAAACTCCAGGGGTCATTGACTCCGAAAATAGCAAGCAGACAGGGCCTTCTTTACATTGCTCCTTGTCACGGCACTAAATGTACACACTAGGAAGTCCAGTGATTTCTCAGTGCCGTTTTCAACACTGTATGTTTAGACTGCCCTTCTGCGTGGTACCAATTCCTGCATTAGGTGTGTTTAGTGGGTCTTCCCCCGTTCTTCTCTACCTACACCCTTTCCCACATTGCTGCACAACTGGTACTGAGGAGCTCTGTCTTTCCTATTCCACTATTCAGAGACTCTGGGTTTTTCCGAGTTTCGTGTCTGTCTGCTATAAATGAGTAGGTGCTCTCCAGTTGCTAGATTTTACTTTATGGAGAAGTGAATGAGTGCTGGGTACCTCTAATTTGTCATCTTGAATCCTGAATCTCTCAGTATTTACTGAATTTTAATTCCAGTATTGTTATTAAGGAGGGGTGTGAACCAAAACAAAAGGTCACTTAAGCTTTCGACCTAAGTATGTAAATATGAAAAGGTTCCAAATGTTTTCAACTGCATAGTCCTACAATTAAAATCTCATAAGAAAGCACGGCACATAAAGTGATGATAGTGGGATATTCATGTGTACGGGTGCACACGAACTGTTCACATCCTCCTGACTCCACACATGACCCAAAGATAAACAGCAGAGCATAGTTCAGACCAAGATGCTCAATGAAATTTCCAACAATCTACAGATGTGATAGTTTCCCTGAGTGAGACAGAATACTCCCCAGAAAGCAACCAAATTAAAATAAAAAATTATATAAACTTCAAATTTGTGGTATGATACTGAAATGAATAGTTAATAATGTAATGATAAATTCCAACAGAAGATGGCAGGCTTCAAAATATTTAAAAATATTTAAAGATTGAATATAATTTTGTTTAGGTCATTACCTTGAGCGGCAGGAGAAATCTAGTATATGTAAAAGGTTTCTAACTGACAAGAAAAAGTTTGATAATGTAATAGGTAAATCCACACCTTCTGATTATCAATTAGATTATCTAGTAGACTAAAAGATGTGCAGTTAACACAAGTATTCTGATGTTTGTTGCAAGATTATAACCCATTGTTCAACTGGCTTGGTTAAATAGTTTATAAAATAGTATTTGCAAGTATGATCACCTCAAATCAAATCTTACCTTTTTGTTTGTTTGGTGGTGGTGCTACTAGAGATTGAACTCAGGGCCTTCACACTGAGTAGCACACCCTATCTATTTTTATTTTTTGTTTTGGAATAGGGTCTCATTAAGTCTCTAAATTGTCCAGGCCGGGGTCAAACTTCTTGTGGCCGCAGCTTCACAAGGTGATAGAATTATAGGCTTATCCTGCCTGGTTTGCTTCAAATCAATTCTTTATTTAACACAGGCATAAATACCATGCAACATTTCCTCAGTAACTGATTTGGCTCTTAGTAGTGAACTTATTTAAAGACTGTGTACTTAATAAAATATAATTGGAAAGTTAGGGAGATAGATCTTTTGTAGATGGGAAGGAGACCAAGAGATGGTAGGAAGGGGGAGGGAGATGAGAAGAAGATGAAAGAAAATTAAGATGTGTTATGCACCAACACCCCATGAGAAACGTAATCATTATGTACTGCAAACATATGGATAAAAAATGTTTTTAAAACAGAAAGCACTGACTTTTAGAAACTGTCACTACTTTCTCTGAGTCCTGGACTTTTTGTATTGGGTTTCAGTCCACCATTAGACAAAGTAAGTAGCTGAGTATTAAAACAAAAGTAATAATTCATCAAGAAAAGCTTGATGAATTGCATAAAGATCATTGCGATGTACAAGCGGTGGTAAACCTATGGCATGCATGCCACAGCAGGCTGTTTGTATCACTGGAAGTTCTAACAGGTTCGCCATCACTGCTATATACTAACACGTAAGTATACGTAATAGTTTGCAGCACACTGACTCTCTTAGACTAGAAGACAGTAAATATTGCAGTGTAGGGTTTAAATTCTCATCTAGTCCTTTTTTATTAAAAGCAAAAAGGACAGCTTTTACTCAAAGCAAGCAGCTACATGACGCAAAACTAATTTGGAAGAATTTAGATTGAATAGGAACTGGATAGCATTTCTAGTACTTGGCCTATTATAGATACTTAGGCTTGTCCCATCTTTTCAAAAGTAAAGAAAAGATCCTTCAATTAATAAACACCAAGGTGTTCACTTTCCAAAATCATCATCTCTGACTAAGTAAATGATTACCTTTTTATCATTTGTGCCATGATCAATACTTTATGACAATATAATTTTGTGATATCCCTAGAAAGGAGAAAAACATTTACAGTGGATACTTTAACTCAACTTCTAAAAAAGTTAACAAACTCATGACTCACTTTCCAAGCGTGGTAAGTACCAGAGGGATCTGTCTGATATAATCTCGGGATACCATCATCATCAAAACCTACAATTAAGGCAGAAATACCAAAAGGTCTTCGTCCATTGCTCTGGGTATATTTCTGGAAAGTAAAATATAGCTTTAGGATAACCTTATTACTTATCAAATAAAAATTTTAATACTGAAGCATTAGTGTCAGAAGGATCTACTTTCCTGATTCTTCTTCTATGTACTATTACAATCCTTTCTGCACTAACCATAATTCATAACAAAATTTTAAATAGACTGTTATATATAAACTGTAAAATAAAATGACAAGTTTGCTTTTATATAGTTTTAAAATATTTTTCTGTTGTTTTGTGTATGTTTGATAATATAACTAGATTGGAATTTTTTTAATACAATAGATAACTGCATCTTTATATCACACCCTTTTGTTTCCCAGCAGAACTGATTTCAGTGTGTTTTAGAAGCACATGCTTGGTTTGCCTTGAGGAACACTTTAATTGTTACTATTATTGTCAAGTATTCTTAGTTGATACACTGTTATCAAGTATGTTCTGCTAACTGTAAACTAAGTTGTCTCTACTTAAAAATCCAAGTGAGACATTTCTTTCAGTCCCCAAACAAAGGATGTTTTGTTTCTGGTAAACAAAAAGCATATTTTTTTCTCTTAGATAATGGGGCACTGGAAACCAATTACAGTTATTACTTTAGTGTCAAGAGAACTTCCTGGATTTGTGCTCTAAGGCATGAATTCACACTGAGACTGAGGTTCCTAGATGTCATGTAATGAGGAAGCACTGACACAAAGCAGAAGACTAATGTGTAGGCAACTTTATATAATTGTACATAATTCTACGGCTATATATAACTGTGTGTGTAAGTCTGTGGCTGGATGTACTTTACTTCCTGGTCCTATCCATATATCAGATCTATTTTCTTATTTTTCAATTTTAGTATATAAATTTTTATGAGCCATTTCAAAATGTAAATATAAACACTTGAGCGATGTATATAAAAAGCCTGTCTCAGGTATGAAGTAAAATGACTAGAGGAAAGATATTTTTACTTTACTTGCTCAATCACTTTTTTTAAATAAAAAAGTAATGCATGCACAGAACTAAAATGATTTAAAAGTACAAAAGGTGCACATGAGTTACCAATCTTCAGTCCTGGAACCTCAGGCCTCCCAGGACAATCTCACTGTTACAGATTCGCAACTGTGTTTCCATAAATAATGTATGCATAGCTTTGATAATTTTAGAATAAGTCCTAAAACCACAATTAGGAACCTTGTATATACACTGTTGTCTCTTGTTTTTTGGTGGATGTTTTTTAACAAATGGGAAAATCAACAGAAAGAAAACAGAACAGTACAGATAACATAAAAATACTGTATTTTCTCTCAATATGAATTAATAAATTAAAAAAACAAATTTGTTGTAAGTCAAACTGTAGTGTCTAGAATATGTAAAGAGTTTGTGCAAAATATTTCCACAAATCCATAGTAACATCCAAACCAGAAAGTATTTTACATGCTTGAAATGCAGTAAATCATTTCATCCATAGTGCAATTCAACCAAGTAGCAGTAGACATTATTATAATGCTCATTTTATATGTACGAAAATTGAAGCAAAAGTAGGCTAAATACTTTTTCTGAAGCACCAACTAAGAAGTAGTAAGGCCAGGATTCAAATTGCAAAGTTCTGGCTGTCACAAGCATATGCTTAAAAGCTCAGTTGCTTGTTAAAAGGAAAGATTTTACAATGAGGAGAAATGGAAAAATCAAACTAACATGTGGAAAAATTCAAACTCATTAATTATAAAACATAAATTAAAACTACCACAGTACTGTATAATACTTATCTGGCAAAATAAAGAAAAATGAAAAACTCAGTGTTGATGGGTCCTCAGGGATAGCTGGTTACATAGTAAAATTTTGTTTGCTCTTTCTAGGAAGCAATTTATCTACATATAACCGGAGCCTTAAAATCAATTACAATCTCTAATCTTATAATCCCTTACTAAAAATTAATTTGAGAATAAAATTCAAACAAGAAAAACAAAAGCCATGACCGAGATAATGTTATTAGGATAGTAGAGAGAATGAAAATGAATATTAAAGAAATCTGAGACAAGGTAAAATTTCAAATAATAACTACAAACAGTCTCATATAGTAAAAGAATATAAGAATAATGCTGCCATCTATAAAGTACATACAAAATAAGTTTAACATAACATAATACTGGTGCATATCACAATTATATTTAAATATTAAACCATCTATCCATGGATTATGCATATAAATATAAATAAATCCATGGTTTAATATAAATATAAATCCATGGTTTAAATATTAAACCATGGATTCAGAAGAAATCATATCTAAACCTTATCAACTGTGTTTAAGTTTATAGATAAAATAATGTTTATTTCTTTCTAAAACTTTAAAGAATTATTATTATTCTATTTCCACAAGAATAGAAATTCCTTTAAAAGATTAGACTTATTCTTTTACATTATATATAATTAAACTGATTGAAACTGCTAGTAGTTAGATCACTCTATTCTTCTGGATAAGAGTGTAATTACGATGCAACTGTGAGAAAAAATAAAGAATTTAGGAGTTTTGTTTTGTTTTTGCCCCCACCCCAGAGCCAACAGAAAATTCTAGAAAGCACCTATGTCAATAGGCTTTCTTTTTCTGTTGTTAAATTCATTTTATTAGTACATATTTGTCATACGTAGTGAACACATTCATCATAGGAAATGTGTACCTGTACATAATATATCTCAATTCTTTTGTTTTCCCCCATTCCCCGCCCTATTCTTCAACCACTTTCCCCTCCCCACTTAAAAAAGCTTTTTTCCCATTTTTTCTTCTGTTCTCTTTTTTCTTTTCCTATCTTTCCCCTTCCCCTTTTCCCTCCCCTCTTCCTTGTTCCCCTTCCCATCTGAACATTTTCATACTACTCCCCAATACCTATCATCTATCTTAGTCCTATTTATGCTTTTGGTTTCTCACAAAAGAGAGACACTGCAGTATTTGAACATATGTGTCTGATTTATTTCACTTAAAAGTATGGTCTCAAGGTACATGCATTTACCTAAACATGTCTCAAGTTTATCCTTCTTTATGGCAGAATAGTAGTACTCCATTAGAGGTTCCATTTGACCCAGCTATTCCCCTTCTTGGTATCTTCCCAAGAGTTAAAAGCATCATAACACAGCAATATATGCATACCCATGTTTATAGCAGCACAATTTGTAACAGCTAAATCTTGGATATAACATAGATGCCCATCAATGGATGGATGAATACATACTTTAGTAGTTTTTACAGACTGAACACTTGCAGTGATTATATGATTTCTGTGATAGAACTTATAGTGATAGTAAAGGAGAAACTTTTAAAAAAAACTGTTAGAATATTAACTCACCTGCTTTAAAGTTGCTATGAAGCGAGTTATATACTCTACGGTGACTGAATCCTCAACTGTAAGCTTATGGCTCTGGCATTCCACTCGGGCTCTGTTTATTACTACTCTAGCATCTGCAGTCAGTCCTGGGAAATAGTCAAAACTTTACAAAAATGTATTTTCACAATACGTTTTTTGCTTGTCAAAAGGGTTTCAGCCACCATCAAATCTTTCTTATAACACCTCCACAGGCAACACATGCCCTTTATAAAGGAATTGTGGTTTTCTCCTAAATTTGGATTTATTTCCTTTTAAGACTTACTTTAATGTGTTTACTGTTTAAAGAAAATGGTTTAAAGAACAATGGATTAAACACTAATAGTAACCTGCATTTCTTTTTATGAAATAAGTCTTACTTCATTGTCAAGCTTACATTCACTGAATTTAAACTTCATTTAATAAAACTGCTATATGTCATATCTCAGTGTTTTGTCTGAGACTAAGCATTGGAAATCAAGAATGTTAAAACAGAAAAGGAAAACATTTGACCTTGCTATGCAATCCCTGAACATCTTATGCTTAATTCCCTATACTTCCATAAGGAGACAGAATATGTTCTAGCAAAAGAGTAATAAACTGACCATACACTTTAACTGATGCAGTGGCTGGAAACATCTGTATTAAGAACTTTGGCATTTGACTTTTCTCTGGTCATTTATTTCCTTCCCCATTCGCTTAAGACTAACTAGGTAGACAAAACATTCATTCATCAAATTTTGCAAAGGTAGTTATTTCTTACTTTGGTTTTTGCTGTCACAAAATAATTTCCTTTCATCATTTCAATTCTATTTCTACAAACCTGGAAGATTTTTCAGTCCCTGAAGACAGTATTAGTCAAAATAAAAAAGCTGTCAGGATATGCCACTATTTTTCAATCAGCCGAACACCCCTAAGGAGGGTGCGAATTCCAATCAGATACTCAGTTAAAGGAAGAGAAACTAATTTTTTCCTCTTTGCAAATGTTATGGAAAAGAAAGAAACACCAAGATATTGACTTAACCTACCTGATGGATTAAAATTTCAATTAGAACTATGACATGATAAAATATCTTAAAGTATTTCTTCTTTACAATGTGAATACAATTCAAAGCTAAAGAAACATAATAGGAACATACATCTTGTAAGTCTATAAAAAGTAACATATTTCTTATGAATCTTTATTATTTTAGAATAAAAAGTTGAGGAGCAGGGGCGTAGCTCAGTGGTAGAGCACTTGCCCAGTATGTGCAAGGCCCTGAGTTCTATCCCCAGCACTGCCAAAACAAAATAGAGAGACACATAAACAGAAAAAAGTTTTAAAGAAAATAACTCCCTACAGTTGTAAGTACAGTAACCTAATACACATCTTTTAATGTGTATGGTTTATTATCAAAGTTCATCAGAAATCTGTTCATAGAGTTGTGATTTTCCTTGGAAAATAGGTTGTTTTTAATAAGAATAGAGTACAAGTATATTTGTTATATAACTAAAGCAAAACTGAGGTAGTAGGGCTAACCATTATGCATCATTATTTTGGTCCATAGGTACCTGCAAAAGCCATGCAAACGTGGTCATCAAGAGCACAAATTTTCCTCACAGTTCTTTCATCTTGAAGCTTGGCAACCGATTTTTTTTCTACCCCAAGCACAACTATATTGGTACCTCGAATTCCAACCTGTTAAGTCATTAAAGGAATAATAAACTGAAACTTAAAACAGACACATTATTCTAACACATGACTTAAAGGAAAAGGCTTTCCTTAGACATTCATTCAGTGAAAATAAGAAAAGAAAACAAATAGAAAATGCAAAGAAAATACCAACAATGATGAAACAACACGAGTGTCTTAATCTCATACAATACACCTGAAAAAGTGCTATATAAATAATTCATTAAGGCTGGGCATGGTGGGGCACTCCTGTAATCCCAGCACTCGGGAGGTTGAGGCAAAACGCATGTATCTTTGCGAGTTTGAGACCAGCCTGGGTTACAAAGTGAGCTCAAGCCCTGCCTGAACTGCATAGCGAGACCCTGTCTCAAGAAGACAAAAATAATAATAATAATTTATTAAGTACTTTCTCTGAACTAGATACTATGAAACATGTTTTAAAATAGATTAGTATTTCACTCAATTTTCTTATCAACTCTATGAAACAAGTGCAACTTTAATGCCTATTCACTATTTAATAAACTGAAGCTTAGAGAACTTAGGTTTCTCAAGTGACACATCTATTTCCACATCCATGATAGGGACAATTAGTTAATATACAAATATTTATTGAACAAAATATATGGTATAATACAAATGGTACAGCCTTTGGATATGAAAAAATTTAAGTACAAATATGAGCTCTATAACTTTCTAGCTGAGTACATTCCACAAGCTATGAAAGCTTCCAAATTAGAGGTTCTACATATGTAAAAAGGGGATTAAATACTTTCCTTAATACTAAATAATATATAAAATACCTGTTATAAAATAACACTTAAATGTTAGTTTCTTCTTTCCTAACACCTCTAGTGTATTCTGTGTGGCAGAAATACAAAACAGGACTTATGCCATTTGGATCCTCAAAAAACTTACTAGATAGTTGGAATAAGAAGAGTAAACCTGAAATTAAAGAGAATATGATGCCAAATAATAAATATTGCCCAATACCTTGTTATAGAATTATAAAATCATGAAATGAAAAAGACCTGTGATGAGTGGAATAAATCAGTAAACATTTTACAAAGGAGGAGAAACATGAGGAGCTAAAGGGATGGAGATGTAACTCTGTGATACAGTGTGTGCCCGGCATTGAAAAAAATCTGTATATACATATATCTATATATCTCTTTCTATCTATTTGGATAAGTAAGGTGTAAGGTAGTAGAAAGAGAGGCACTTTTCCCTCTTCCTATTTACATGGGTAGAATCACATATTAGTGAAACCAAGAAATTGCCCCTTAACTGAAGAGCGTGCATGAAAGACTTGGATGGCCAGCCTCTGGAGCTGAGATTTGGTAAGGCAGGAAATACAGAGCTAATAAGATTTAGAGGTTAGAGAAAAGACAGAAAGAGGAATGATAATAAATCTTATCTTTTTCATGGGAACATTCTGATTTTATTCTTTTCCCTAAGAAGAAAGGCATTACCTCACTAAAATGTTATTCAAATGTAGGCGTTTATAGAAAAGGAAACTAAAGCAAAAACAAAACAGCCTTTTACCCCTACTTTATGTTGTCAGAATTGCTAAAAAACAAAAAAGTAGAACCCAAGCTGGATAATTATGGCTTATATAACTTTTTTGATCATAAATAATATCACATCCACATACTGGTCAAAATGGGTCAATCCTGGCTTATTTGTAACTAACTCATCATATCAACTGTTTATAGACATATTATTGTACCAACTATTATAATTAACAAGTTCCAGTATAAACTTTACCCTGTGTAAAAGGTCATAGCACCCTCAAGGAAACACAATGAATAACTCCATAAAAGATGCAAATTATAATTTTGGAATCCTGAGACAAAAGTCTCATCTTTCCAATGTATCTTTTAAAATGCCCACTATAGGTATTTTTATATCCTTACCCTTTTACAGCTCATTACAAAGGAACTATCAATCAGTTCTATAACATTCTTAAAACATTTTAAATGAGTCAATGTGGTTTCTTATTACACCCCTGTCTTCTCCCATTACTCACTTTATTTTAGGCTCTAAAACTTGGGCATTATTTCCTAACCATATGCTACATGCCAAGCTGGGAATTCTATAACTTTTTGTTTTTATCAAAATGGTACCCTTTTGGTTTACACTACATCAGGCTTTTCTTAAATTTACAATTTAAAAAAATTACTTATAAAACAGAAGCAAAACTAGTGGGCCCAATTAAATAGAAAAATACTTTAAAAATGATTCTTCTTTCCAGTGTTTTCTTTTTGCCACTTTTCATGGGATAGATTTATAATACAAGTGAATGATTTCCTTCCATTATGAAGTTGGTATGAAAAGTCAGAAAAGATACAGACACTTGTAGACTTAGAAATGGTCTGTGTATTCTCATAACTACTGTCTCAAGTTCCAGAATACACAACAAACATGCTCATGAAATTTGAGAGATTTTAAAAAAATCAGATTCTTTCGAGTTCATAAGCTAGGACTTGCAAACTTAGGGTAATAGATCTTTGGTCACTAGGGCACCTTTGTCCTTTTTCATTTTTATAAATCACAAAGATTATTGGATGTAGTCAAAATTTGGCAGTAGCATTACAACTACCTTGAGTATTTAAAAGTTTTTCAGTAATGTGGGTATGTAAGTCTAAAAACAGGATAAAGTTTCTTATAAAACTTCCAGTATTGTTTTAAAACAAAGCCAAACCAAATTAAATAAAAAGTGGCAGAAGAGTAGAGATTCTTGGGTTCTGAGCTGCTAAGGCCACCGTACATTTGGGTGGGAATTCTAGACATTTTTAACAGGTGTGTTTGAAGTAGCATTTTTAACCATTTCCTCATTGACAAGGATTAAATCCTCATTATATTGATCGTTTTATACTTCTGATGCAGGTCTAGCTGACTTTAATTTTTATCAAAATTATTCATTAAAAATGATTTCCAACATGAAAGGACTGTTCAACTTTTCCACGGTTATGTAAATTCCTAAGGAAGCAGGCCACGAACATTCAGGTAGGTTGTGCTGGACATACTCTTTCTCGTCAGACACAGCGTGAATCAATCTTGTAGATAAGGCTTCAACACACACACACACACCACCACCACCACCACCTAATTTTGTCTGTAGCCATCTTTAAGCAAAGGAAGACGAACAACAGAAGCCAATAAAATCTATCAACTTTTTATATCCTTACCCTTTTACAGCTCATTACAAAGGAACTATTAATCAGTTCTATAACATTCTTAAAACATTTTAAAAGAGTCAGCGTGGTTTCTTATTACACCCCGTCTACACCCCACCTATTCCAGCACCTATTACACCCCGCCACTTCCAGCAGTAATTTCAGAAGTAGTATTCCCTTCAATTAAAAAAAAAAAGTAAGTAATTTTCACAAGCGGGGTACTCTAGTCTCCTCTCTTGGCCCTAAAGTTGGAGCAGAAGCCTGCCCGGGGCAGCGGGGTGAGCAGGGTTGACAATGCACAAGGGTGATGATAGACGTTGCTTGCTCACCGCAGTGGATCCCTTCTTCACTGCTTCCTGGGCATATTCCACTTGGAAAAGATGTCCATCTGGGGAAAATACAGTGATTGCCCTATCATACCGAGAAGCCATGGCACTGGTCTACAAGGATTACCGTCGCTCATCAGCCAGCACCAAACTGAGGCTGGCGGGGGTTGTCGGGGACCGCTGGCGCCACCACGCGCTAGCCGGAAGTGCTCTCCAGCGCGCCTCAAACGGCTTCCCAGAATTCCTTGCGCTCTGCCTTTCACCGATTTCCGGAGTTTCGCGTCTGTCCAGCTGCGTAACCCCAGCAATGCCCGGGAGTTTTCCCTGTTCTTTTCCCTGACTTTCCTACCTACCCCATATCTTTGTTTCCCATAACAATGTTGCCTTTATTCAAATGAATCAAAGATTAGGGCGTAACAATGAGGTCAACAAAAGTCAAATATTTTTGCCTTTTAGAAGAAAAAATAATGAGTAACATTTAAATCTCCTCCCTTTGGTTTCCAGTTCTCTCTCTCTCTCTCTTTCTCTCTCTCTCTCTCTCTCTCTCTCTCTCTCTCTCTCTCTGCTCCTCCTCCCTCCCTATTCTCTAATCTTCTGTTCTTTGAGCCCAGGAAAGAAATTCTAATTTTCTAAATAATGTTTATCTGGTTTTTTTTCCTTGTGAGCAAAATACAGCCTATGAGCTTCCTGAGAAACTATCTTGTAGATAACAATATGTAAAACAATAACCATTGATAATTTCCTACCACTTTGTCTATAATTTGGTAAGCCCCCCATTATTGTTATCCTTCTTTTACTCCTTAAAATAATAATAATAATAAAAATACAGCCTATGAGCAAATAGTCCATTAACAAGAACAAATAGACTATCAAATAACGATAACCACGGAAATTAAGGTAATATTGTTTCAACTGAAGAAAAATGTAAAAGCCCAAAGATGTGACTAAAATGTCTGAACATTTAGGTATAGAAGAAACTCTCGTATTACCTGGTAAACCTAACTGTGAAACAAGTCTATTTGTCTTCATCAGTAAAGTGGGAATATTAAAAATTCTGCAAAAAGTATGTATCCTGATTCTGCAAGAAAGTGTGTATTCTGAGGTTAAAACGTGTTTATAGGCATAAGAACTTAAAATGGTGCCAGGTGGGTAATAACCAGGCAAATCTGTCTATTATTACTTTCCATGTGTATTTATTAGATGCTATTTTCCATTGGGGAGGATCTTAAAGTTGGTGAAATGAACCTTAACTTAATAAAAAAACAAAAATCCACAAAAGAGAGTCACTTCTCTTAGTACCAAAAACCTAGACTTTGGTTGACTCCTGAAAAATTCTTCAATATTAGAAACTATTGAAAAATTTGAGTCTCATCAGAAAAATAGTAATACCTAACCAAAATAATTATGACAAAACAACATTTGTCAGGAAATGTTTTTTGAGACATGTTTCATTATTTATGTTAAATAATCAGCTTTACTTTTTGTGTGTTGAAATAGCTGTAGATTCACAGCAAGTTTCAAAAAATAGTAGAGAGGTCCCCTGTATCCTTCACCTAGTATGTTCTAATGGTAATATCTGGCATACTTATTGTATAATAAGAAAACCAGGAAACTGACATTGGTACAGTCCACATAGATTTTACAGATTTCATAAGCTTTACAGATTTTTACAGAAATTTTACAGATTTCATAAGACACTCCGTGTGTGTGTATGTGAAAGAGAGAGAGATTGAGAGAGAGAGAGAGATTTATCATGGGTATACTGGTGTAACTACCACCAGAGTCAAGATACAAAAATGTTCTTTGACTGTAAAGATCTCTTGTAATATCTATTTAGAAAACATAACCATCTCTCCATACCTCCACCACTCCTGACAACCACTAAACTGCTTTATCTCTATAATTTTGTCATTTTGAAACAATTTATCTGAGTGGAATTATACACTTTGTAAAAATTTCTGATGTTTATTTTTAAAATAACTGCCAGGTGTTGCGGCACACACCTGTAATCCCAGCACTCTGGAGGTGGAGACAGGAGGATTGTTGTGAGTTTAAGACCAGCCTGGGCTACAAAGTGAGTTCAAGACCAGCCTGAACTGCATAGTGAGACCCTGTCTCCAAAACACCAATAAAGTAAAATAAAATAAATAAAATAATTACATAGACTCACAAGAAGTTAAGGGGACAGTACAAATGCAAGCCAGACATGGTGGTGTATGACTATAATCTTAGCACTGTGAGAGGCTAAGGCAGAAGGATTCCAGATTCAAGCCCAGCCTGAGCAACTTAGCATTCTTGGGAGACTGTCTCAAACTAAAAATATTTTTTCAAAAGGCTGTGCATGTAGCTCTCTGCAAAGGCCCTGGGTTTGGTCTCTAGTTCTTCTAACTAGAAGATAGTAAAAAAAAGAAAAGGAAAAAAATATATTAAAGCATAGACAGATAAAAATATAGAAAGTACTAAAAAAAAAATTGGCTATATTGAAAAATCTATTATAGTTGGAAGGTCATAAGGACAGAAGATTTTAAAAACAACTAGAGCCAGAGCAGCAAAGTGTTTGTGATGGTTGATACACTGTGTCAACTTGAGAAGTTTAGAAGCTTAACTAAGTAACTCAGCAGTTCTACATCCTGGGGTGTGTAGAGGACATGTCCTAAGGAGGCTGTTTATGATCCAGAATGTTGTACTGGTTGATACACTGTGTCAATTGGATAAGTTTAGAAGTTTAACTATGTGACTCAGCAGGGGGCAAGGAGCCTCACTCTGAAAACATTTGGAGCCTGTGTAAGAGGAAGGCAAGGAGATGGAATGAGTGCTTAGCACATGCTGGGGGTTGGGGAGTAGCCTGCTTACAACAAGGGAGGAAAAGAGGCTTATTTCTGTTCTTTTCCCTCTTGCTGCTTTTACCATCTTCTGCCACTGTAAACTGTTGCCATCTGCCATGTGCCACCCTGCCTTGGAGCCAGCTGATTATGCCCTGAAACCTCTACAAACTGTGAGGTAAATAAACTTTTCCTTCCTTAATTTTGGGCATCTGATATTTTGTCTCAGCAACAACGAGAGAAAAGTAATCAAGACAGTTTCTTTTGGAATTTTTAAAATTTTTGTAAAGCAAAAGATCTAGGAAAAACTGTGAACACAAACTGGGATAAAGGTCACACTTCAGAAACTACAATATATTTGCTGTAAACCAAAGATAATAGGGAAATTTTAAAGTTATCCAAAACCAGAGCAAGGTGGGGGCAGGTTATTTTTTTTTTTTTATTACTGTCATTATTTTTTGGTGCCAGAAATTGAACTTGGGACCTTGCGCCAGGCAGGTGCTTGTGCTGCTGAGCTATATCCCCGGCCCTTGTCAACTGATTTGTATACTGATATAGAGGAACTCTGTGTTCCATATGATTAGAAAAAGAACTAATGCAAGCATCATACTCTCTAGTGAAAAATATTCAGAACTGAAATTATTAACGAAGGTTTTATCATGCAAAGAAAAAACACCAGTTGACACAATGTATCAACCATCACAAACATTTCCACCAACGCTCACTAAAAGAAATACCAAAGAATGTTCTTCAGACAAAAGCAAAGGATCAAAGTTGGAAGTTTGGAAGTGCAGGAAGAAATGACGATCATTAAGGCAAATACATACATAAATTTAAATAAATATTAATTGAATAAAACAATATTACCTTATGGATTTCTAAAGGCATAGTATTAAAATTAATGGCAAAATAAGACTCAGCTTGTGTGAAAGGGAAATGAAGTTAAATGTCCTAACTTCCTTTTCTTGTTGTAGCAAGTGGCAAAACATTCTAAGTTTTTTTATTGATACGTAAAGCTTGAGCTTATTCATTTCCACTGCTGTATAGTTTTTCTCTATATAACTAGGCCACATTTGGTAAAAATCCATTTTACTGATGGTGTCGATTTAAGTTGTTTTCAGCTCTTGGCTTTTATTGGTTCATAGATCCTTAGCCACAGTTCAAAATTTAGGAAAGCTGCAAACTGGAAGCTGTATTACCATTTATTTGGCATCAACTCTGACCTGAATAGAAAGAAAGCTATTTATAGTCTTTACCCCCCTTAATGTGAACATTCATATGTTCTGCAGAGGAAATATTTAGATTTTCTGCTTACAGGATAAATTATCGGCCTCAAGGGATATCATATAATATTCAATGAATGCAACATATTACTTTTCAGAGTTCTCCCAGAATTTCTAAACTTCAAAATACGTCCAGCCACAAGGGATTTGGATAAGATGATGGGCTAGTACAAACACGGATGCAGTGAATATCTGTACTGGAAGGTAGTTTCTAAGGATGGCCTTGACAGCAATCCCCAATCCCACCCTTTTTAAGAACCTTCCCTAATTTGCCTCCCTTAGTATCTGAGTAGAGGGCTGGGGATATAGCTCAGTGGCACAAGCGCCTGCTTGACAAGCACAAGATCCTAAGTTTGATCCCTGGTACCGCTGCAAAAGAAAAAAAAAAAAAAAAAAAAAAGAACTGAATAGAATCGTGAAGCTCTTATAACAATAAAAAAGAAATGGAAAGGGCATTGCATGTTTATGACATCTAGTTTGTATTACTCTTCAAGTGTCCTAGTGGACATGTTATAATCTTTAGGAAATTCAGGCGAATCATACAAGAATGTGTAACCAAAAATAAAGAAATAAAGATAATCAAAGAACACAAAAGGAAAGAGTAGCAGGGAGTATCACTCAGTGGTAGAGTGCATGCCTAGCTAGCATGCATGAGGCCCTGGGTTGAACTTTCAGTATCCCTTCCAAAAAAGAAAGAAAATGGAACAATAAAAGGTAGGAAAAAATAGGAAGCAAATAATATTTAGTAGATTTAAGTGCATTATTGTCTATAATTTTTTTGTTGCTTTTTTTTTCTCCCGGTACCGGGAATCGAACTCACAACCTTGCACTTGCCAGGCAGGCACTGTGCCACTGAGCTAAATCCCCAGCCCCCTTGTCTATAATATTTTAAGTGTAAGAAATATTTTTAGATTGGATAAAAGTAAATGTACCGATATGCTGCTTACAAGAGATAAACATTAAAGAGTAGAGAAAATGTGAAAGTAAAAGGTGGATAATGTGGTGAACACATAATTGGCGAACACATAAAAGGGATGAAAAGTTACTGAGCTATTGGGTGGAGGGAAAATGTCAGTTTAACCCAA